GACTTAACTGCAGTGATTCACTTAACAACTGTGACATTAAAGGTCATAAAGTAGAGCAAAACTCATTTAGAAAATGTTTCACTTAACAACTTTTGGGCTTAATTGTGGTCATACGTCAAGAACTACCTGTACAACTTCTCATTTTGGATTACCCCACCCCACATAATTTTTCAGATGCTTTTGGGGAAATTACTGAAAATTAATTTCCAGTTTTTAATTTCTTTTAGAATTGTTCTTATTCTATGAATGGCGGTAACTAAAATACTGTTTATTCTGAAAAGATTATAGGTCTAAATAATATGCCGAGCAAAGTGTTCATCTAAATAATTGTAATACTCCTTTTTGTTTCTATTCAAAGCTAAGTTTCATTTGGATTTAAATACTTTTTAAACTCTTCATCAAGTTGAGCTTGATATTTGATAACTTCATGGATATATTTGTGTAATTTCTTTAACAGGAATAGGAAAATGTTTTGCCATAGCTTTTCTCTACTATGCTTTTCTTTTCTTTCTTTTTTTAAAAAAAAACACCTTTTGCAGTCTAGTTCTCATAGGATTGATGCACTTATTTGCTTTTTATTTCAAATGCTATGCTTGCATAGCTATGCTATGCAATAAAGACATGAACCTGTTTTCCCTTTTCCTTAACTTTTTAAACAAACTGCATTATGTTTATATAAATCTGTTCCTGTAGTTAAAACAAATGTGTGTGGTTTTTTCTGTTCTGTGTAATGTTTGGATAGCAGCTGAGCTTACATGAAAATGATGCAAGTCTGATTGTAAGGTTAAAATGCAGGATCTTTTTGAACTGTAGTTTATATTATATTCCCAAGAGTGTTGGATATGAGTAGTTCTTGTTCAGAGTTCAGATATCTGTTGTTATTAATTGTTATAATGTTATTTGTCACATTTTTCTGTTCACCTCGGGAATTTTTAAGGTGCTATATAGTGACAGATCAGAAGTGCAAAGTAACTTGATGCTTTTTTACCCATTGCAAACTAATGTACAAAGTGGTACATAAAACATTTAGACTTAAGTTACTAAATTTAAAAAGGATACATTTACAATATATCAGACAGAATTTATAATTCTTTATAAAATTTCACACAAGCCAAAAATCCAGTTATGACACTGCAATTATTATGTTTCTTCTACCAAATATATATGAAAATGTAAGTTAAGTTAACAGATATTCAAAAATTACCATCTATATAGGGTGAGGAATAATTGTCTACAGTTTCTTAGAATAACAGAGGCAATTCGGTCAGGGTTTTTAAAGAAAAACACTATGCATTTAGCTCTTTTTATTGTATATACTCCCTTTGAAAACATAGTTAGAAAGCCAATGGGAGATAGTCATGCCAGCAACAGCATTACATACAACTGCTGTACGTTGTTACTGGAGGAAGTATACTGTATAACACAACAGTGGTTGAGATCTAGGAGAAGATTGAAAGCTTTGTGCATTGCTGCTGGGGAGGTTGTGATGCAAAATACCTACCATGAAATGCAACATATAACAAAATCTTCTGGGGGTATGGATCATCCATTCCTAGAAGATTCCTGAGGTCTGTGGATGTTGAACGACATGGATGTGTACGAATGTCTTTCTAAGAATGAAAGTTTAATTCCTCTCACACACAGGCACATACAGGTCTGCACACGTGCACATACAAACTCATAAACCTATCCTTTTTGGGAATGTTTGTTTTTAAATTAGTGCCTTTGGAAATCCATGTTCTGTGTGTTCCATTTTTTTTACAGAGGGTTAAAAAAGAGTAGAAAGTGTGTAACTTACAGAACTAACCAGTTTTACAACATTAAGTAAAAATGTTAGTAATCTTTTCAAGTTTAGAACTTTGTATATGCAGAGATAATCAGCAACTCAGAGAGACAGACTTAACTATTAGTTTAAAAGGTGTTGAGTGTCAGGAATAAGATTTTTCAACCTTCATGTTAAATAGACATTTAGTTTGTAATTATGCTTCTATATCAAACACTGAGTACCGCAGCTTTTTGTTTCATTGCTTGTTTTGTTTTTTGCCTTGGTTTTTGGTTAATAACTAAAGTTTGCTTGGGATAATAGGATTTATTGATATAGGTATATGCCTTTTTTCATAATAATTCACAGTTCACCAACTTTGGTCTCGATTCAGACTAATTCTACTTTTGAACTTGTTATATATAAGGTGTAGCTCCAGTGTTTAATTTTAATGGAATCTAAAAGTGTTATGCTAAATATTTCTTCATTTATAATGCAGCTGTCAGGTTTATGCTTTACCATCATAGTGTGATTATCCCTATTAAAAATCAGTTATTGATGCTTGTAGAATTTTAATTATCATTTTGTTTCCAATATCTAGTTTTGTTCTTATATAAATAGTTTCTGTGTATGTTGAGTTAAAGTCATTACTGACAATTAACTTCTAATAGTTTACAGTGTACAAAAGTAAATGTTAGCCAAGTTTAACTAGAGGAATCTGAATCAGGCTGTGTAATCATCTCTTAATATCAATTTTAAATCTAAAGTGCTATCTTGATCATTTTGAAGGTCCAAATTATGCCGTACATAACATCCAAAATCTCCATGAATACACACACACATAATCATTGGCCTAGAGAGAAACAGTGCATGAGTTCATTTGCATAATTTTGGAGTGGTTTTCATCTATCTGAGAAAAGGAGACAGGTTAAGGAAGCATTCTTTTCTATTTTCAGCCATTATCTACATGCATACATAGATTTTTAGTGAAGACAAAGATATCTTTATCTAGACAATGGATAAGCCTACTGATTTCAAACTTGCACTTTTGCCGTAGATTGTATTTGCCCCTCCATCTCTGGGTACTGTTTTTCAAAATTGCCTGAGGCTACAGTACAGCACCTCAGATCCCCAAGGCCCATTGCCTGGCTCCTAATAGCCACTCTCCATCTGTGTCATATGAACAGCTGATGAGATAGCTCCAGTCTCTGTATTTTGGGAGCACATCCACCCAGGTTAAAATGCTAGGGTTGCCAAGGAGCAGTCAGAAGCCATTAATGTTGTGAAAATTTGCCTTGCAGCAGTTCCTTGGCATAGTGGAATTGGTATGACTGTAAAAGGATTTATGCTTATGGACGCATAGATGTAGGGTGGTAGGCTACTAGGGAAAAAAAAACCTTCTAAAATAGCATTTTTCCAAAGCAGATAGCTGAAGATGGTCTGATGTCTTTTCCTTAGATTGCTCTTCAACCTTTCTATTTACCTTTTATTTGCCATAAGTCAAAAAGGGGAGGGGGAGAGAAAAGCCAGTCCCCTTTGGCAGATGGAAAGGAACTACTCAGCCTTGGGGCAGGGTGGTTGTAATGAAATGGCCTGTCATTCTGTAAATAGTGAGGACCATCTTTTCTATGTGATGGAAGATATCACATTGCAGTTAAAATGGGAATGTCAATAAAATTAATCTTCCAGCTCTTTGCTCAGGAGTTTTTTGTTTCTTTCTTTTTTAAAAAAAAAAAGAGGGTTAGGTAGTTGCAACCCTGATGCATTCATGCATGCTTAAGACATACCAAAGAAGAGGTGTGTGAGTAGAACAGATAAAGGAGAAATAAAATTTAAAGTTTGGAGGAAAATAGACTGTATAATTGTAATGCATTTAATTTAGCAGTGCTAAAGAACTAGAAGAGGCTACAGGAATTAGTTTGTGGGTCTGTAGCATTCCTCCGGAAGCTATGAAGCCTCTGACTCAGGCTACATTGAGCACAGAGTTTATTGTTTTAGGCTTTCTTGGACAAGGTTTTTACTTAGCATGGGATTTATGGCATTTACTGCTAATGAATGTCTATTCTTAAATTACAAAACCACCGTCTCAGTGCAATTCCCAGATGTCCTTCCAGGACCTCAGCTTCTTAAACACCAGCAGGGAGCATAAACTCTCCACTTCTCTGTTTTCCTCTTTCGTGTGGCTCCGGGCTAATGATGTGTAAGGAAAACACAGCAATCTATAAAGTCTCAGTGCTGTCCCAGTATTCTTCATTTATTTTGCATTTGATTATGCCACAAGTCGGATCTTGTTTCTTTCCTTTTTTTAAGAGTTATTAGTTCAAATATTAATGTAGGAATATGGCATATATTGCTGCTCTTGATTGATGCCTTCCCAAAAACAGGAAGACGTGCTCGTATGAATTTTAAGAAAGTAGGGGTCCTGCAATGCCTTGCCAGAAGAGTTTTTCAGATACATAATTTAGATGCCCTCCAGGCATGCTTTCAAGGCATTTTTGCTGGAGGGCAAGAAAAAATAACTATGACTGTTAAAAGTAAATGATTTTTTGCTAATGCACAATTAATGCCAGGAAAAACCATTGAAGAGAAAGATGTTGATGGAAAGTTCTGATTAAGTGAGCACCCTACCTTGATGTTCATTTTTTTAAAGAAATAGGATAATAATCACTGATGCAGACACAAAGGTTTTCCTGTCTTGCAATAACTGTTTAGGATCATGCTAGATATGTTTGTGTTTGCGGACTTGCGTGTACAAGCTTACATGCATGTATGCACTATAGGTAGATGACAGCGTATAGGGAATGGATGAGCTGATAATACGATACATTCATTGAACAGTGAAATATTTATTGTCACCTATGCAGAGGGTTCAAAATATATAGACCACAGAACATTTAACTTGATGACTGCAAGGAATGCATTTATAGTAAATAGGTTTTCTCATGGTAAATTTTCAAATATTGTATTCTATAACTTACAAAGAGATATTGCACCATTTGAAATACATATCTATAATTGAATTAATGGTCTGTGTTTGTATGCAATATAAAATTAATATTTGGATAGGCAATGATTTCTGACTTTTTATATTTCTATCAAAAATATATTTAAGACATTAAAAATACTGAATGTTCATATATGAATAACAGTTCATTAGTGCTTGAGTAGTTAATCTGATTAATCAAATGGGTTTACAGTGGTTGTTTATTATCTCTTGTCCCATTTCTTTTTCTTTTAGGGGATGGTTTAGACAACAGTGTAGCTTCTCCCGGCACAGGTGATGATGATGATCCAGACAAGGATAAAAAGCGTCAAAAGAAAAGAGGAATCTTCCCTAAAGTAGCAACAAATATAATGAGAGCGTGGCTTTTCCAACATCTCACAGTAAGTGGACTTTTAAAAGAATTTAAAGAATTCTTTTGAACGAAAGACCTTATAGTTAATTTTTCTTTCAGAATGTATATATCTATTCACTTATTACTTTAATATAAAACAAAATTTGATTTTGCCATTGGGTCTGGGGATCTCATGGGATTCCCATAAAATGTTCCATTGTGCATAAGTTTAGAAAGCACTCTCCCTTGATTTTTTTGTTATTATATAATTTTAACTGTTTTTATTGTACAGGTAGTCTTCATTTAGTGACCACAATTGGGAAAGCAACTGTTTTGTTAAGCAAAGCGGTTGCTATGTGAAACATCCTTTACAATTCTAATTCACTTTTCCTTAGCCTCACAGATCCACAAAGGTTTCAAATGTGAGTTTTAGTTGCAAAGTTTCTTTTTAATTCTTCTTGTAACTCTGAATGATTGCTAAATGATGACTACCTTAATTTAATGGGTTTTGTTTTAATTAGGTTGTTTGTATAGTTCTATTTTTTATTTTGGATACTGCTTTGAGTCATAAACATGAGATGTGAGGCTGTATAAATTCAATAAATAAAATAGAATAAAATGTATTCAGATATTGTAAGTTTATATTTTACTGTGATGTAAATTTTCGAGTGATATGTGTGTGAATGATACATGAATGACCTCAAGTAAAAAAAATACAATGAAACATAAAAGTTAATTAATTTTGGCGTCTTTTGCAAACAGTATAAATCTATATGATAGCTTCTCCCAAGCTGGTACCTTCCATATGTGCTGGCCTTTATTTTATTTAATTC